GATCTCAGGCTGTTCGGAGCTGTGGCTGCTCCTGCAAGGCCGCAGACAGGGCCCCTGCTCTTCCTGTCAGCATCTGTCTTTCTCGGCAGAGGGGCTCCTGTGTGTGAGAAGTCCTCCCTAAAATCTCCTAGACCAAGTTCTTCCGATAAGAAGAAATCCTCCCAATCCATGGAAAACCAAGAAAAGAGGAAGAAAGACCCCCTTCAGCCCAGTAGTGTCCCCCTCAGGTTGTGTCCCTGGGCCCTTCTGAGGCTGCCTTTGTCTGGAGTAGCTGCCTTTGCATTAATGCAGTGATGTCCTGATCACTTGTGAGCATGTCTTACTGGAATTGGGACACCTGTCTAAACTCTTATTCTGCACAGAAGACAAAACTGCTGCTCTCAGGAGAAAGCAGGAGTTTTATGTGCTCAGACATCTGACCTACCGGGCTAAAAATCCCGGCTCCAGTGTGATAATCCAAAGCAGATTTCTAATTGTGTCCATTTTTGCATGAGTCTCTGTGGTTTCTGATTTTATCTGTTCCTAATTTTCTTGGATAAAGGACCAGGCAGTGCAGTGAGGCTAAGTGTTTAAAACATGTCAGTTTGGGATGTGGTAAAATGTCTAAGCAGATGAGTCCACCAGTATTTTCTTTGCAGCCCCACTTCAGGTAGGTCTCAGTTCCATGGGTTTCAAGGGAAAGCTCTAGGCATTGTCTGGGTTTCAGAAGCTCTTCCTGAAATTCGGCTCACTGGCTGGGTGACAACCGGAGCTGGGCAGTCTGCTGGCCACATTCTTCCTGGCTAGCTGGGCCCTGAGGCCACCATTGGGGTTCCTAGGATCCCAGCGGGAAGCTGCTGCTGCTTTTCTTTTTCCCCCTACATGGGGACCTGCTGTACTGGGCTAAACTGGGTTGCCTGAAATGTTCCATGTGCACTTGACCATGGCTGTGGCTAAAAGCCAGAGAATCACAGCTCTGGAGGGCACATGTGCTAATTATCTTGAGAGTTCCTTCTATTATCATTCCCCGGGTCTGTCTTCAGCCCCTCAGACCACTGGAGAGGGGCTCCTGATGACCACGATAATAAATTATCCTGATATATCCGCATTCATATCAACCACTTTGACACTGATTCTTGTTGATCAAGTTCTTGAGGCTTATCAAACATGGATTGTTCACACTCAGATTCTTCATTCTATCTTTATGGTTCCCTCTTGCACAGCCTCTGGGGATACAATGTCTCGTGGTAAAACCAGCTTCGTTTTCTTCTTCCTCTTTAGTAGTTACAATTTGGAAGTTTGTTTCCTTATGGTCTTTACTTTTTGAGGATGTAATAAAATGAGGTACTTAGCCTAGAAGTTTTTCTGGCTCCAAGGAGGAAAAAAACAGAGAGCCTGAGTCATTTTAACTTGTGATGTCTGCATGTTGTGGTTACTGAGCCTCACACTTACTGAGATTAAAATTGTTCACTTGTTTCCTTTATACATTGGGTTAGGCCAGTAATCACAAACCAAATTAGGAAAGCAACCAGAGTGGTGAGAGTGTATGCAGAATTGAACCTGGATTAACTGTGGTTCCAGACTACCGTGTGTGTGTGTGTGTGTGTGTGTGTGTGTGTGTGTGTGTGTGTGTGTGTGTGTCTCAAAATACTTCAGTACTGGCAATGAGAAAGACATTAACAGTTGTACTTCAGGAAAAAAGTTGCAACGTCTGTGTATGTGTTTTCAAGAATTTATGAGACTTACTAGTTGACTCTTGGCTGGAAGGAAATCACTTTGTGGCCTCTGGTTAAGACTATCAGAGTATCCCACAAGTTTGATCTTTCAGCCCTTCTCTAACTCTGTTTTATTTGCATAACTAATCTGTTATGTTATGTTAATTTATTAGCATAATAATCTGTTTTATTAGCGTAACTAATGTCAGTGCAAAGTGGGCTCACAACTCCCCATTCAAACAAACCAACCACCCTAAACAATTATGAGACAGTGTGGGAAATGCAAACATGCCTAAAAATTAGATATGAAGGATTTATTGTTTACTTCTTTAAGTGTGTGTAGTGGTATTGTGGTTATTTTTATATAAAGAGACTTTATCTTTTAATGATACACACTTAAATATTTAAGAGTAAAATAACATGTGCTTTGCTTTAAAATAACCTGGTTTGTGTGTGGAAGTGGGGAGAGTGGGGATGTAGATAAATATGGTCATACATGGATCAATAATTGTTGAAACCTGCTGATGTGTGGCAGTTAGTTCCACTAGTCTACTTTTTTATGTATTTGGAATTTTCCATAGTAAAAAGTTTTTTCTAATCCTTCAGTAGACATTAAATTTTTAGGAGTCTTTATGTTTTATAAATATGCTGATATATGGGTAGCTGAATTATAGTTGAAATTTTTAAAAAGTTTTCATTTGCAAAAGAAAAACAGGATCACAGCAGGTAGAAATAGGTCCGATAGCTCAGAGAGGTATGAAGCCTACAGCTGCTCAAAGGGACTCCAGGATAATCTGAACAGGAAAAATCCTTATCTAAATATATGTTAGACCAAAACACTGACGCCTGCATCTCTGCCTACATTGGAGACTTGGCAAGAATATCAGGAGGTAGCACACCAATATAGAGTTGAGACATCGGATTTCTGAGGCTTGGGGTGTCCGCTGGCAGAAGTCTGTGCATCTGTTTTTTTTTTTTTTGTCTTTTGTCTTTTTCCGTGTCCGGCAACGGATCGCAACCCTCAGTGTCGCCCCCGTACCAGACCGGGACCGGCAACGGGATCGCAACCCTCGGCGCTGCTCCCGCGCCTCGCTCAGCCAGTGAGCGGGAACCGGTCTGTATGTGGGATCCGAACCCTCGGCGGGAGCGCCGCCACACTTCCCAAGCGGCGCACTATCGCAGTGCGCCACCGGGCCGGCCCCTGTGCATCTGTTTTTAAGGGATCCTTCAAAGGCTGCTTCTGTCCAAGTACTGACCTGGCCTCACTCTTATTCGAAAAAATTGATTTACTAGAAGGATGAACACAAGGCATAATGACCCATGTTCTTGGCTTTCCTATTGTTAGCTATGAGATTGGTGCCATGTCCCGTATTTGGGGCTCTCTGATGAGGCTTCTAATAGTCCTTCTCATTCCATTAGCTGACCGCCGAAAGGCTAAAACCAAAAGCTACACAGCTGCCCGTCTGGGTCAATAGATTTTCGAATACTTACGTGTAATCGGAAAAGCGCACTAAAAGAGGGTGCTTTAGACAGCCTCCGGGTCCCTGGTCACAACATTGTGGCCTAGAATGTTTCATTGCCTAAATGCCCTAAACTTACTGGTAATAAAAACAGCCCACTTCACCACCTGTTCTTCTGACCAGAAGCATTACCAAAATCTTCATGTTTTGTTGCCTTTAGGCTTTGGGAACCTGGAAGTTGTCCACATTGTTGGACTGAGCACCTACCTTGTGTTGAGCCCTGGGATTTGAAGGTGAAGGAGACAGTCACAGCCCTCAAGGAACTCTCTCCCATTCTGGAAAGGGGAAGATACCTGAGCAAACATGGCATATGGTCACAAGTGCTCAGAGAGTGATGGACAGGATAGTTCTGGGACACAAGAGAGGGGAGTGGGGCCAGGTGAAGCTTCTTCGAGCAGGACACAGCACTGCTGAGGCTGGACACATGTATCTGGGCTTAGAGAAATTAGGAAGTATCTAAAACTGGTGCCACTGGTTTCTCTGAGTGATTGACTCTGGACAAGGTTTATTTTCTTCTTTAGCTGCTTCTGTCATCTTGCAGTTTACTAAAAGGAGCGTATATTTCATAATCAGGAAAAACTTTATAAAGGCTTAAATAAGCGCAGGGCTGTCCTTTGAAGTTGCCTTTTTAGCTTCAAGGAAAAAAAAAATCTGTAGGACTTTACTCAGTGTTTTGTAACTAACATTTTTGTGAAGAAGAT